CCCGAGCGAGGCCCCCGCCACCCCGGCCCCGGCGCTGGGACCTGAGACGGGAGCGAGCGCCGGGTCACCCATCACAGCTACAGAGCACGAATCCACAAGTTAAAGGGGACGGTGTTCTTTGTATGATGGTTGCAACTTTTCTATAAGTTTGAAGTATTTCAAAATAGAGTTTAAAAATAAATTTGGTTGTTTCCTGTTGTGTTCCTGGAACGGAGTAGAAACAAACCAAGTTCCGTGGGGAAAAGAGGCATTTTAGCCGACAGATACCTGCAGTCACTCGGCCCATCGGCAGGAGAGCTCGGCATTTGTTCGGAAAGTCCTCAGGCGGCAGGAGGGTGCGGCCGCCCAGAGCTCTGGGGAGGGCGCGGAGGCCGGAGGGGCGCCGGAAAGGGTGCAGAGTTGGGCGCGCAGGCCTCGCGCTGGGGGAGCCGAGATGGTGGGAGGGGAGTCCGGCCGTGGCAGACTCCTGGTTACCTCCGGTGGCCTCGTGTGCGGTTGGGGGTTGTGAGGACTCATGAAGAGGTTGTGTGGGGTGCACGGGTCACAGCAGAAACGAGCACTGGTGCCATAAGCAAGGGAAGGATGTTGGGGTTCCCCAGGCGAGTGCGAAGGCCGCGGACCAGGCTTGGAACACAGGAACAAGGGTCGGAGGCTCAGGAAGCCGCCTCATGAGGCCCCTTGGAAGGGAGTGGGACCTACAAGTAAATGCTCCCAAAGAAACGACTGCGAATGCAAAACCCCAAACTCACCACGTGTTACAGAACTGCAGCTCATGCCCTGCCAGCACCCACAGTGACAGAGGTGTCCTTACACATCGGAACAAAATTAAGTGAACACTGAACATGCCACTTAGCACTGTGTCTGCTTACAGCCACGTTTTCCTACCCTGGAGTCACGTTCTGTTCAGAATCATTGGACAAAATTTCTGAAATTAAAAATGACAGTGACATTGTAGCCCTCGCTGGTTTGGCTCAGTGGATAGAGCATTGGCCTATGGACTGAAGGGTCCCGGGTTCAATTCCGGTCAGGGGCACATGCCAGGGGTGCAGGCTCGATCCCCAGTAGGGCGTGCAGGAGGCAGCCGATCCATGATTCTCTCTCATCACTGATGTCTCTCTCTCCCTCTCCCTTCTCTGAAATCAGCAGAAATATATTTTTAAAAAAATGACAGTGTAGTACTCGCTTCAGCAGCACATACACTAAAAATGGGAACCACAGAGAAGAGTAGCATGGCCCTGAGCAAGGATGACATGCAAATTCGTGAAGCGTTCCATATTTTTTAAAAAATGACAGTGCATCATGCAAGGTCTGTATGAACAGCTGTCACTGCTCTGCTTCCCCCTCCGCCCAGGAGAATGTGTAGAGGCGCACAGGCCGTGAGGGAGCTGGCGGCCCTTAGGGGCCCAGGCGATGGAAAACGGGTGTTATTCCTGGCGGCCCCCCCAGATGACAGCTGATAACTTCTGCTCACAAGGTGACTGGGAGGCGGGGCCCTGGAGCCAGATCTCAGGGGCAGCCTGGAGCAAGTCCACCCCGTGGGCAGAGCACCCGTCAGTGATGCCAAGCAGCATGGGGGCTTTCCTGCTGGCAGTGCTCCGTGACCAGCACCGTGGCCGGGAGTGGGCAGCACCGTCGGACCCGGCGCGCATACCTGGGGAGGACCGAGTCTGGCGCCCCTGGACTCGCGCGCTGTCTTCCTCTGGCTGCTTCTGGCTGGTGGCTTCTCTGTGATGAATGGACTGCGGGTGACAGAGCTTCCAGTGAGTTCTGGGTTTCTAACGAGTCGTCTCACCCGATGGAACTTGGAGAACTTGGGAGAGCCGGAGCTGCTGTCCCCGGGCACTGCCCGCTCCAGTGGGATCCAGCTCTCCTGTCGGCTGTTTGCTTTCTGGAGGGGCATGCTCCGGTCCGGCCTGAAGGAATGCGCTGTGAGAACAGTCAGACCGTTCTGATGGCCACTGCGTCACCATCTGACTGAATGGCAGTCGCTCCGATAAGATTGAGACTCCCAGGTGTACCTGTATGGCCCTGCGCGTCGTGAACTGTGGCATACAGTACTTTTTTTTTTTTCTAGGTGGACATTTCTTTTACTTATTTCGTTTTTCAATACTTTCAACAAAAGGATTTTCCCATTACCCCCCTCCCCCCAAGTTTAAATAAGTGCTTTTCATGAGCAGATACCAAAGAAAATTACACATTAATAAAAACTGATATCCTTATTTTAGCAATGTTTTAAGATAAAGCATTTTGTCCAAGGCTACCTCAGTGATAGCGGTGCAAAGAAAATCCTGTATGTTGCTTATCACTTGACCTCTATGCACTGAATTGATAGTCATGAAAAAAACAATTATATTCAAATTATGAAGATCAGTACCAGTTACTGTAATTACCTAACCTTGAGGCTAGCAGAGAGCTCATTAATTTAAAACAAAACACGTTACCAGGTAGGCTAGCATCACCATGCGAGGTCACCTGTGGTGCCGGGAACCAGAGAGCCAGGGAAGGTGTGGGGTCACTGTGGGCATAGAAAGGCGACACTCATGGGCAATGTCTGACACGGCAGCGGGGCGCCAGGGAACGTAGGAAAACGTTTACATGGCTAATTACGAAAATAATCTACTTTCATAAACCTACTAAGTGGATAATCGGGTATCAAAAAAATGACAACGAAATTTGTCAATTTAAAAAAGCCATTTAACAAAAGACCATTTTATATATTTCTTTGAATTATGTCATAAAATTTAAACATACAAATTACATTCCCAAGCCCAAACGAATCATTCAAAACAAATACATATATAGACAAATTCAGAACCCAAATTATTTAAAAGTTGTTTAAATCACAGTAAATGATATCTCATAAGAAATAAAGCGAAAGCATGACCGTTCCTTCCGACGGTCCACGTCAGAGGAGCTCAGTGCCTGAGGACGCTGATTCTTCAAGTCGGTTCTGCCCCCCGGACCTGTGCAGGGCACTCACCCTAACAGCCTGCAGTTCCGCCAGGCTGCCCACCAGTGTGTGTGCAGTACTCCCACCCTAACAGCCTGCTGGGTGATGGGTTCATGAGCAAATGCTAAAACAGCCAGCACAGTGGATTAGTTATTCTTAAAACATCCTACCGTTGCCTAAGTGTCCAAAGCCGTGAATTACAGTCATAGCCTCCAGGGAGCAAAGCCAGGTGTTTTGGTAAAGCAAGGCACACAGGACCCGGTTTGGATGAAGGCGCTTTTTCTTTGGTCCTACAAGGACTTTAATTTAAATACGCTATATTTCCTACAGGTTGTTCAAGTGACTTCCCACAGAGCTAATGAGCTTCTGTAACTTCCCTGACATACCGCATGCAGCCACATGTGGTCACAGATGGCAGCGATGGAAGTGTAAATAAAAGGAGCAATGCGAGACCCTGTTTGTTAAAAGAAACTCAGTTGAATGGCTACAGGATGCATTTTAAGTCTAATAATTTGGTAGCAGGAAAAGTGTGCCACTTCTTAAGAAAAGTCAGCATTAACCATGTCTACTGAGCACAGAGGTAGTTTCCTTTCAGAGTCTGTCTTACAATCTAGTTTACATATCAAACTACCCCTCCTATGAAACGTGACCCTCAATATAAACGGATGTAAACATGTAAATTCTGCATCTATACTGCGTGTTCCTCCATCAAACAGCACCGCCACGTCACTTCTCCCAGGACTGATCCCCTCCCGGCGAGGAAACACCCTCATGTGGCAGCTCAGACTTTCATTCCCAAACACCATGCTCTTCGTTTCTAACAGAACTATCAACTGGCACTTTTCTCCCATGAATTAGCATATTTTTTATAATGAATGAAGTAGTGGAGAGAGAAGAAGTAGTGAAGTAAATAACATTTAGCAAAGTCCATTAGAGCGACTTTTTACAGGAAACTTTAAAAATATATTAAGTATGATGAAAAACATAAAGTAAAATAATTCTACTCCCTGGTAATCCAGGCGTCAATAAATAAACCCACATTCCAACTTCTGAAGTATTTTGCCCACAAAGTCCTCTTCTCTCTCCTGCTAGCCTCTCCCTGCGCCCCTGGTAAATAACTCATCCAATTTGCCCCTTCACCTGCGGTGCTGAGCACCTGGAAAAGAAACCTTGTGAGAGGCCAGGGGAGCCAGCGCCTCCTGCCTCCCACCTCCAGCCCGGGGGACTCGAGCCCCTGGGCGGGGTGTGAGCACCTGGGAAGCGCTGAGCGGCCCTGGGTGTCAGAGCGCCATCCATATGAGGTGATACCGTGGCAACCTGGAACGTCTCCAAGGAAAATCGTTTTGGTCTCAATTCCTTGATGTCAGTCCTACTTTGGTGGTTGTTTTTGTCAACAGTTGTAGACTTTACAGGTCAATGAGTAAAATACTCATTAAAAACATTCTAATGTGTACAGTTCATGCTGTGATAGTTCAAAACTCTCCAAATGGAGATATTAGACAAGAATTATTTTATTGTAAGTTAATAAATGAGTTTTTCATCCCTTTAAATTACGTATTAAAACTTTAATGGAACACACAGGAATTAATTTAAAGCACCACTAAAGACGATGTGATTTACAGAAAAGAAGCAGGAAGGGGAGGACAGCTCCACTAGCGCCCAGTGCCCAGTGCCACCCGCACGGGCAGGGATGCTTTCGAGGCGCTGAGACCTGACGGGCAGGTGGAGAAATGTGTGTTTCTCTACGTGGAATGTGAACGTGGACTCTGCACTTCACTCTCTGACAAGCCAGACCCAGAATGGTACGTCACCAGCTTTTATGTAGCTGAATAACAGTTAGCGATCTTTTGTTTACCAATCTTTTGTATAAATATAGAAATCTCGAGTCCGTGAAAAAGTTTCTCAGGCCATACTTCTATTTCTGCACAGCTTTACAGGCAATAATCCTAACCGCCAAACTCTGACTATGCCATTGGCTTGCTGACCTGCATGGAGGGTGAGACACCGAAGAGAATGAAGTAGCTCGTCCGCAGACATGACCGCTGACGCCCGCTGCGTGCGCTCTTGCAGCGCGTGCACAGGCCATCCCTGCGGCGGTCCCAACGGCCAGGTCCCCCAGACGCACATCTCCGGTCCCCGCAGTGAGTCTGAGCCCGGCAACCCCTCAAGCTTGGATTTCTAGAGGCGACAGGCCTGCTGTCACACAGACAGACCTGAGCTGCACATTCATGTTTTCCAACCACCTGGACAGTGTGAAGAGCGGCGACACCGCCCTGGGCCCTGAGCAGTCCTGCGGTTCCCGCGAGCGAGCCGGGAGCCCTGCGAGCCCTGAGAGCAGCGCCCCCTATGCTTTGGTGGGGTTGCCTGCAGGCTTGGGGTCGTAGCCGTATAGGAAAGTAGCTGCTATTACAAGGATGGCTCCCAGGAAGAAGACACTACATAGACAAAGAGAAAAGGAAAAAGCAAAATCGGATTAGAAGCAAACAAGTGCCTTCTCCTTTACTCTAACAAGTGGGGGAAATGCTGCCGTAACAGGCGAGCCGAGCCTGTTCACTACACCCAGCTGCCCAGCTAGTGTCCACAGGTCCTCTCAGTGCTCCAGCCACGGGAGGACGTGGTGGCAGTTCTCCTTTTTAATCCGAGAAGAAACTGAAGGCAGCGAGTTTAAGTAACTGGCTCCCAGCCCATCACTCCCCGTGACGCGTCTGGCTCCAGCTCCCTCCTCCTCCTCCTCCTCCTCACTGTCCCCCAAAGCAAAGATGTCTAACTGTATTTCATCTTAACGTGCCCTGAGCCTGCAATACATTGAATAAGACCTCAACTGTTTTAAGATGTGAAACTGTAAAGGGAAATCTACACTCGTCAAACCAAAGTAAATTTCAGTGTAAAATCCAAGGCAGTAATCAGAAAACCTCAGGACCGGTCTTTCAGGGTGCTTTTTAAAAGAGAGAAAGACTAAATGCAGGGAGACTTGGTGTCTTTTTATTTTATCCATAGATATGAGCCCTTACTATGACCTGGAAATGACCGTAAGCTGGACGTAAACTAGAATACCAACCCTAACTTTTGACATGTATATTCTTCAAGAGAATGAAAGCTGCAAGCCTTTTAAAATGTCATTTTTTTGGCTTATTTTGTGACTTTATAAGGCCAATGAACTTTTAAATATGACTTTTACATGACTTTTTCTTTGGGAGGAAAAAAACCCATTCAGATCCACGGGGAAACTCCTGGACAGCCAAATTTGTATAAAAACTTTTCCAGTGGAAGATACTGTCGTGCACACTATTTAAAACCTTTTTTAAAAGACAGCTAAAAGGAACCCTCATTACATTTCCATGATTCTTCAAAAGTTGTAATAGAACAGCATTTTTCAGACTAGATCTTAAGAGAAATCCTGACTTTCCTATACCCTTTTGAGGATTTAAAGAAAAGGTGTTACCTGGTGGGCACGAAATCTTGTAGCCAGAAGTAGGATATCAGTGTCGATAATATTATGGATAAAGAGGTTGCAAATCCTTTTAAAATATTATCCGCATATTTTATAACAGCTGCTATGACAAGGCCGCCCAGTGCCTGCAGAAGTGTTAAAATATTATTTTTAAAAACAAGCATCTATAAAACTGCTTTTCAAAACAATGTCATTACTCAATGCAGCCTTAAGCCTTTGGCCTACAAGGTATTCCCATTCAGTAAGTGATTTTCATTAAGCACCTCTTCTAAGCAGTGGCCTCCATGGTTTTGTTCCGTAGCCTCTATTTCCAAAGCTGCCTGGTAAAGCGACCCCCAGTGTGACCCGCAGTGTGACACCCCCCAGTGTGACCCGCAGTGTGACCCGCCAGTGTGTGCCCCGCAGTGTGACCCCGCAGTGTGA